CAAATTTTTATAACTTCGCCGTATAAATACTGTGCTATTTTTGCGTTTATTAAAATATTTAAAATACTAAAATAGTAGTTTTTTTTAATTGACGATTGTGTGCGTGTGCAGGTGGTCAACATTTTTCCGAAAATTTTTGTGATTTTCCGTAGCCCGATCTTTCAATTATTTAATTTTATATGGTATATGGTCTATTTTTTAATGGAAAATTTTGAGAAGTAGCAATTTTCAAGAGAGATGAGATGAACTTACAATTAATTTTAAAAAGATATTTGTATTTTAAATGTTTTAATAATATGAATTAGTTGAACTTAATAATCATATTTAAGTAATGTGGTTAAATAAATGGTTATCGAACTCAAACTATGGGGTGAGAAAATTAAATTGAAAGTTTTACACGTGCCAATTTTAAAAAAAAGTTAACAATGTTTGTATTTTGTTTATGCTAATTCTCTTACATGTAGTTTTTTGCGAAGAAATATTTCATTTATTTTTTAAAGTAAATGCCAGTAAAAATAAATAATATTATTTTTAAATAGTAATATAAAGCACCTGATATAAATAATTTTGATTTCTAATTTTTTTTTTATATTTTCCATCCATTACACTGCATGCTTAGAAAATTAATAAATGTTGATATTTCATGATTTTAAAATTTGTTGTTAATATAACAAATTAGTTCTGTAATTATTATTATTTAGAAAACAACCCTTGCCAAAAAAATTAGAGTCTATATTATTTTTAAATAGGATCTAATATAAATAATTTTGACCGATTTGATCTAATTTGTTGTTTATATTTTGCCACTACTTAAAAAAATGTTTATATTAAATGATTTTAAATTTTGTCGTTAATAGGTATAACAAATTATTACTGTTATTATTATTTATTAAACCAGTCTTTGCTTAAAAGCATTAAAAATCATTTTCCTACATCCAAAATAACAAGTATTATTGCAGTGTAACAACAGAATATTAATAAAAAAATGCAAAATATATAGACGTACTATCCCTAACTAACTAAAGCCAGACAATAATATTCTTTGCTAATATCAACTAATACCAATATATGGCAACAGCGCCCTTCATAATGTAGTTTTTGTGTAAATACTAGCACCTCAATAAAAAAAATAATGTGTCCTTATCTTTATCTACTCCGCAAAAAATCAAAGATGCCGCCTTCTTTCATAGCATTGCCACCGACCGCTGTCGGGTTTCTCGGAAAGAAACCTACGTCGCCGGGCGACAACTAAAATCCAGTTAATATTTTATTATAATCGATCCTGACGAATAAATGAATTTCATAAATGAATGAATTTTATAAATAAATGGTTTTTGCTGCCGAATTACTAGAATACAATATTTCAAGGCAGATGACGCGTCTATTCAATAATTTTTATTCGAATAGTTTTCAACGAATGTTTTGTTACAAGCTATCGAATTATTCGAATGAATTGCAACTATCGAATGTTTCGATAGTATTCATTCGATAGTTCCCACTACTACCATAGATAACTAATTTTTTGGCAGTTATTCTAGCAGAGATGGTTTTAAGTTCATAAATTATATAGGCTGTTGTTGCCTTAATTGAACATGGTAGAGTTCAAATTCTAGACTTAAAACAAACTCTGCTATATAGAGTAACTTCCAACAAACAATAATAATGTACTCACCCTATCTAATTTCGATTTTTGAATTCCGCATGACTTTCTAAACATGTTTTGTGAAAAGTTTAATTTAAGTTTAACAGGTTTTTATTGACAAATGACATTTGCAGAGCAAAAGATAAATATTTTTTAGTATCAATCGATTTTTTCATAAATTTATATATTATTTCTTCAGCGGTTCTCGAAATATTTTCTGTAGGTATCAACAGATATTAATTAGAAAAAATAAAATAGTCATCAGATTAAAAATCTAATAACATCATCTTGTAGAGCAGAAAAAGCAGCAGAGGGAATATCGTATTTGTATTAGTGATGCCTCCCATACAATTTACAATCTTCAATGAGAAACAGTTATATGCATCGATATTTTTTCATTAAAAGCACATCCCTATTACATCGTAATGCTAAACATCCTTTCTAATCTTCCTAGTCGACGGCCTTTGAATCTTCTCTCATTCTTGTCGTGCTTCGTCCCCTGACAAAGATAGAAACACGCAAGCTATAGTCTTATAGTCATTTAGTGTGAGTGAGAAAAAGACAAGTAGACATGGGAGAACGTTCATAGAAGGATCTATTATTGTGGTCGTGGAAGATTGCTGTTTATCGTGACGATGCCAGTAAATGTGAACTACGTTGAAATGGCTGTTTTAATGTTTCTAAAACGCATTTGGGATGATGGTTGGTTTAATATAGTTACTAAAAATGGAGTGATGAAGTATATATCTCTATTTTTTTAAGATTTAGTGCCATAAGAAACAAAATAAATTCTTTAAATAATACCTTTTGTGTGTGTTTATCTGTACTTGACTGAAAAAAGTTGTATATTACTTGGTTTACAATTATTATATACAGGGTGGCCCGAACTGTATTCCAGAAACTTCGGCAGCATATTCTGCAGATAAAAATAAGTAAAAAAGTTGGTATAAATGTATGTCCTAAAATGCTTAATTTCGGAGATACAGGGTGTAGAAGTTTCATATTTATTTCGATTTTTTTCCAAATAATTTATGAAGTAACTACTGGTTCTCGAGATATTTGGAATCGAAATTATCAATACTTGTCATCATTGACATAAATTAAACATGTTGACTAAACAGTTATTAGACTGAAACCATAAATTTGAAATGTTTTTCTGCCAAAAGTTCAAGAGAAACTGTTTTCTCGTCATTTATTCGCAAGAAAATTTATGATTAATTTACAAAAATAAAAATTTCCCAAATTTATTATTTCAGTTAAATAACTAACCAAACTAACCAAATAATCTACTCAACATGTTTATTTTTTTGTCAATAATGACATGTATTGATTATTTCTATTCTAAATATCTTGAGTACGGTTGCTCGTAGCGATTTTTACCAAGAGACATTTTTTTACCTAAAAAGTCACGGAAATGTAATTTTTTTCACACAGTAATTTTATACAGGTACGGATGAAAAGTTATTAGTCTTCAATTCTGTTCGTGTCAAAAAACTCCCACACACTAAATTTCATACAAATATTGATGTTACTTATATATATATATATATATATATATATATATATATATATATATATATATATATATATATATATATATATATATATATATATATATATATATATAACTTTGTTGTATTTGATTTAATTTATAATATATAAGCTGTGTATTACATAAAGGTTAAGTGGGGGAGAAAATTTCTATTGCAGTAGGTGTAAAACAGGGCTGTATACTTTCGCCGCTACTCTTTAACATCGTTCTGGATGTAGCACTAAATAGAGTATTTAAAGAACCACTAGGGATATAATGGGGACTCTTAAGCAGGCTAGAAGACCTGGATTACGCAGACGATCTATGCATCTTTTCCCATTCACATTAGGATATGTCTCAAAAATTTCTTAGACTCCAAGAGGAAGCTAATAATGTCGGTCTTCAAATCAACGTGGCGAAAACCAAAGAAATGAGGTCAAATACAACCAAGATCTATACCTCTCCAACCGAGCCATCGAAAGAGTTGATGAATTTCAGTATATGGGAAGTATGGTTCACAGCGATGGGGGCACAGAGAAAGATATAGAGGAAAGGATTTTGAAGGCACAAAGAGCTTTTGGCATGCTTACACCTGTGTGGAACTCCTCTATATATAGCAAAAAAACTAAAGTCCAGCTCTTCAATAGCAATGTCAAATCTATTTTGCTTTATGGATGCGATACATGGAAGGTTACGCGTGGTCTCATGGATCGCCTACAGGTGTTTGTTAACAAGTGTCTTCGAAGAATATTGAGAATTTTCTGGCCCAATCAAATTAACAACGAAGAACTGTGGAGAAGAACATCACAAAATCGAATAGATATCGAAATTAAGAAAAGAAAGTGGGGCTGGATTGGGCACATTTTGCGCAGACACCACAGAGATATTGCTAGACAGGCACTTGAATGGAATCCACAGGGAAGACGTGCCAGGGGAAGACCAAGAAATACCTGGAGAAGAACAGTAATCTCTGAAGCCCAAGAGGTCGCGAAAACATAGGGAGAGATCAAACAGACAGCTCAGAATAGGATCAGATGGAAACATCTCTTAGAAGCCCTATATCCCACGAAGGGATGACGGGAACATATAATAATTATAGTAATATATAACTATCGCTTCTTTGATTTTGATAAACATAAAATAAATAAACATATCAAGTAAAAATTAGAAACAAACTAAAAATAATCGTATTTAAACAAAATATATATACAATGAAGCAAAAGCACGAGTAATAAACAACCCCAGAATTCCGCAAACTGGCAAACCAAAGAAATTGGCAAAGGAGTACGAACAGGGAGACGCGATATCTCCAAAGCTGTTTACAGCGAGACTAGAAGAAATCTTTAGTTAATTAGACTGGACCAACAAAGAATCCATCTAAGATTCGCTGATGACATATTCCTAATTGCCAAAAGTCTTGAAGCACAAATTAACGAAATAAATACAGCCAGTATATTTGCCAAAAATAAATAGCCATTAAACAATATAAAAATACTTCATAACAAATCTAGACATACATATTATCTATCATTTAAAAAAAGAATCATCAAGATTGGTGAGGCGGTTTCGGCGGGATGGATGTAACAAAAAAACCCTTTGAGCTTTTATATATGTATGGACACAAATTGGATGTGGATTTTTCTTCTTTTTAGATATTATTAACAAACCAAATATCTAAGATTGATACATTCCATTCTTTTTCAAATCATTTCAAAACAATCTTCTTCTGACTCTCTTCGTCGCTAGTTCTTATTCTGCCCCACCTGCACTACACCTAGAGGAAGGTAGGTCGCATCGCGTCCAACAGTACCACCAGAGGTACCACTACAAATCCGACTTCACTTCGAGTCCAACAACCGCGCGGCCGGTCACTGTTTACCATCAGCACCGCCAGTACTGCCATGTAAATCCCACGACGATTTACCGTTGCCTCTCGTACCCGTTCCCATTTTTCATCAATTCCGTCACAGTTTATTCTTTATTTTTCTCTAGTTTCGTTAGTACTACCTCGGAAAGAAGTGACAATATCAAAATCAAGCGCTTTTAAGCGCCCCAGTTTTGTATAGAACTCAAGAAAAAGACAAAAATATGAGGATTCTTCGAGTGTTTTGGTTGGTGGTGTTTTGTGTTGGTGGGGGGTGTGTAGTGGCCTTGGAAAGTACCTGTATGGACGGGGATAGTACTCGGTGCAGGAACGGTAAGTAGTATTCTTCTTCTTCCTTGTGTTGTTGTTGTTTGACGGTTGATTGGAGAGGAGGAGTGGGGGGATAGAAGACGCGAATAAAGATGAGCACGGTGACGTAATGGGTTGGCTAGTTCTTCGCGGTTTTGAAGATTCAAGGTTCCTACTGGGCGACCCAAAAAAAACGATTTACTTAGATTAATAATATTTCTTTCATACTCAAAAGTTATAATGTTTTTCATAATAATAATAATATGGAGTAAATAATGATATAAGATGTTGGTTGGTTTTCCGTATTTGTAAACGATAAATTCAAACTGATTTTGAATCGATTTTGCTAAATGTTGGTGACTGGTTTCAGGCAAACCGAACAGAAAGAGTTATTTTTTCTCTTAAAACAAAATATAAAATAGATTTCTGCAGTGTCCGATTCCTGTTCGGACAGTTCGGACCACCCTGTATATTAAAAATGATATAAAAATTTAGAGGCTCTTCACCAAAAGAACAGCACAACATATGTATACTGTACACTGAAAAATGTGAAAAATATATTTTTATATAAAATTGGCATGAAAAGTATTAATATAACGGATGTTCAATTAAAAATAACCTCAAAAACACAGCAATTTTACATACATTATTAATTTTTACTGTTATAATTTTGTACATCATTTTTACTCCATTCGGGCTGTTTCTAACTATACATTTTACTATTTCTATCGAAATATATTTTCAGTGAATTCTAAATTTGATTTCTACATTCTAAAATTAAACTTGTTTTTTTTTATTATAAATCACTACAACATCAAGTATTTATTTCAATAATTAAGTTTGTACAAATAAACTTGAGTTGTAAATAATTGACTTGACACGAAAACTTGACTGCATTCTTTTACTCTTTTAAAAATAAATATGATTAACTCTGTACTACTTTCTTTCGGTAATGAGCAATGTTTTTTTAAGTGTGTCTATAAGAAAAACAATGTTTTTACAATCATCTGCAAATAGATCCATCATTCATTAGAGCGAAATAGTTAAAAAACATGCTAAGAGTATATTTCACTAGTCCGAAAAAGTAGAAAAATAATCGTTCGGTATTTAACGTTTTATTTAAAACTGGCTAGGTATTTTTACACAAATGAAGAAGGAAATTAAAGATAAAGGATTATACTATGTCAGTATTGTAGCACATTTTTAGATAGCTTCTTTATTTTTAAGATTTTGATGGTCAAACATCAACAAAATATTCCTTATGTTTGGACTAAATTTTCTCGAAAATAAAGACATAATTTAAAATTCCGTTACAACACGGAAATAGATTGAAGTTTTGTGATTACAGTGATATATAATTTATATGGTTTTGTAACAGATTGCTCGCTATTTTATGACAAATTCTGAAGCTCTGCAAACCTTAATCAAAGCACGTGTGTTTGGAATTTTGTATTGCCTTAACACGACAGGATCTGGCTCAGCTTTAGGCAGATTTCTGAAATACCCCTGAGAGCGACCCGAACAGTACAGAGTAATAGACTCTTAGAAATATTTAGATGTCTTGACCTATGGAGCAGTGTTTCAGAAAAAAAATTAACACTAAATGTTTCAACTTAAAAATTAGATTTAATATTCGTTATTTAGCGGTCAAAAGTACCTACTAAGAATTTCTTTGCTAGTTTAATAAATAAATTTTGCCTTTTATATCAATATATCTTCAAACAATCTTTACAATCTTAGGTTTGATCTACAGTATTTTAATATATGCACACTCAAACAAGTTTACTTAACTGGAAAAAACGTTGTGACGAACTTAATATAAACGCAAGATCTGCTATAAACACATGACATATATTTTACTGACACTACTTCTTAATAGTCCAAGAGCCGGATGCAAAAATATGCAAGAGTTTTCTGACGGCTCATCTTTTCAAAATCGATTGCGTTTTAATGTTAAAATACTTGGCAAGGTGTAATTTTAATTAACACCTCCAAACTGTTTTCTGGTGGCTGACAATTTGTAGATAACATTCCAATGCAATGTAAAACAAAAATATAACAGTCAGACAGAGCAGTATGAGGACACAAAGCGTCAACGCTACCTCAAACGCGCTGTCAAAAAATTTTTGTTACTCAAAGTGATTTCTGAAGGCTGAAACTTTGCAAGGTAAAAGTAAAAACAATATATTTTATAATAAAAACAGTCAGACTCGTCGATAATACAACACCGTCAGTCAGCAGCTGATGGAAGTGAGAATAGTGATAGAAATGAATGATGAATCTTAAAAAAATGATACAGAATTGTAGAATAACGTTAGGCTAAAATTAGTTGTTGAAACAAGTGATGAAGAAAGGATATACATTACCTATTGATCTAATAACTACGCAATGGAATATCCACCACAGAGAAAGTGTTACAGGATCTGTCTGTTGTTGTGAATACCAAAGAATCTAAAAGATATAACAACCACGATCACAATCACCCACAGTCTATTGTTAGACATTGCTTATTTTTTATGCAACGCATAACGTTGCATCAACTATTAGGTCCGTAAAGCAACGTAATGCTATTCATAGTAACACAAAATATTTTTGTTTTTTCCTTATCGTTATTCTAGCATTATTGTTACAGCTAATCAAGTAAACAGATTTATTATAACGTGAGTATTTTTATCCATATTACGCAGCAATATAATCTATAACGCTCTCCAATAGACAGTCTGGCGGCACTTAAGCTTCTCCTGAGCCCAAAGTTACCCAGACTCCTCTGGAAATGCCTGGATGAACTTGTATCTGTGACAGAAAGGAACAGAATTAAATAATTCTGAGTGCTAGGTTAAAACAGGAATGAAAAAGTTTACTAAATAGCAAGACAAGGATCATTAAGATCTTATCTTGGTCCAGAACCAGTTCTGAAAATACCCAAATGTACGATCCGTAGTGCACTGAAATTCTGGATTAGGGAAAAGCAGAATGTCCACTGGAGAAACAGACAGGGGTACAGGTATAGCAAAACGTTTATCCAAGGATCTAATTTTAAAACTATAAAGGAACTGCTAATGTTCAACATGAATAAAGTTTGTGCGACACTGTTTTTTGCGTTTTTTTAAATTGTATTGATTACTCTTTTATCGACCGCTTTTATATAGCCAAGGATGCCAAGTGTGTTCAGTGAGAATTTAATTTTACGTTTGTGCAATTATATTTCTATTTTTTTTTTTCGTTTGGGCTCTCTAAATACTCATAAAAATGATTAAAAAATGTTTGGTCTGTGGAAGTTCTAATATAAAAGTCCCCGAATTATTTTTTATAGGCAAGTAAAGTATTCAGTTGTTCATTTATTTATATTAAACCACACGCATACTTTCTGGTTAGATTTCTTAAGAATATTGATATTCGTACGGAATGGCTAAAAAAATTTAATTGTTGTGGCAGTAAACATTCAATTTATTGTTCAGATATATGCATTATACTTAATTTGTAAAATTTTTAAAATTAATGTTCAAATTTGGCGCTTGGACGATAGGTCCCCGACAAGGATAGATAAAGTAGAAGCACCGCGTGGGCAACAAAAAAAAGAAGATAAATAGAAGTCGTTGATAGGTTTACAACAGTTTCCATAGTGATTTACTTATACACGTAAGTATATTATGATCTAGGGTTATAACGTTATAACAAATACGAAAGCCATTCAAAATGTAATTAAAATGTTTAATTTATTTTACCACGCTTTTCTGTTACGCCTTATAGGCTTATAAATATTTTTAAATTATGTTTTTCTTACACCTACATAGACACCCATATTCACTTTCTTTATATTTCAACATGTATGTATATTTATAAATATATTTTGCTCAATCGTTGATTCACTCTATACAGTGTCACATAAAATTACACCTTAAATTTCACCAAAAAATGATTAAAAAAAGCCTATATACCTAATGCAAAATTTATGTGTGGCACTGAAAAGTGAATTATATTTACTACCATTTTTGATCCTGCCGCAAAGAAATAAATAAACCTTAAAGTGTTACACAACACACCGAGAGCTAGTTTAATAGTGAAGAAATAAACAAGAGTCACGGTGTCCTTCTTCAGGAAGATTACGAGCAAGCTTGTATATCGAGTTGCTTTCAAAGGTTCAAAGATCTGTAACGCGTCTAAGGTCAATAGACCTAAATTGTATACGGTGCTAGGTTATTAGACAGTGTCAGTACTATCGCATTAGGATGATTAGATTTTGATATCAAAGAATGGAAAAAAATTGAACAATTAACATGTTTTAGCTGTGGAAATTGCTTATTTTGTATAGATAAATAGGTGAATCGGTTTTGTTAAAGTTCAGTTATGTTAAAGAATAATGTGTGGAATATGAACTGAAAAGAAAGCATTTAAAATTCTAATGAATCACCTTACTAAACTAAAAGGATGTGTATAGAGATGTTCCAGTACGACATAAACCTATCATCGGTGTGTATCGGTCAAGAAATACCCCAAGTTTCTGTTCGTTCGGGTCTGTATGTGTCTATTGGCGATTGGAATCGCCATGAATATTTGTAGACATTTTTATGAATATACATACATATCGATTATTAGGTAAAATATAGGAGCTACCGTAAAAAGTTAAATACAAAAGTAATAGGATTTTTGAATATCTATTAGCGAGTAATAAATTTAAGTACACAGGGTCGGTCATAAAGTCGTGGCACATCAAACTTTCATTTTTTTAAATAGAGTTACCTGTATATTTTTACATATTTCAATTCTTCCTTCAATTCTAAGCAAAAATCGAAATACACACAATGTACCTCAAACCAACCGTTTCCGAGTTATTGACTTTTGAAAATATCAATTAAACAATTTGATTTAATTAATTTCGATATGCTATTGTGCCGAAACTGTGATACTGTTGTATTGGGGCTTTAAATGCCTATTAGCACAGAATATCTAGCTACCCAACAGAAGCCTCGTTACATGTATAAAATTGTAGGTAGCAAAAGGAGACAGCCTTTAAAAGTCTGTCT